AATCTAGTGGGAAGTAATATTGTCATATATTGTTATACACAGCTGTTTTGAATGGAAAATTATGCAGGAATTAAATTTAGGGGGCGAAGGATCATGTATAGATAAGGGACAAAAAAAACCTATCAAGAATAAGAAAATGAAAAAAAAAAGCAGATGAAAAAAAGTAATATAATATATATATATATATATATATATATATATATATATAATTATTTATTTAAAAAATGATTCTAACTCGCGACATAAGAGATCTCTTGTTTCAAAACAAGAGCCGAAAACGTCAATACAATTATTTGAATTAAATTGAGTTAAAGTAAGCTCTGTTCCATCTTCAAGCGAAATTTTTTTTGAATAACGTATTTCTGAAATTTAATGTTTTAATAATTGAAATCAAAATTTCCATGGTAACAGTCAGGGCGAATTGTTTAAATTGGGTAGGCGTTACATCGTGGTTAGGTGTTAATAATAAGTATCAGTATTGAGTTACTTTCATAGATGTCAAGTCAGGGAAAGGTGGGGTGTCTCAATTTGAAACGGAAGATGTATTAACCCTAGTCTGGTATTTGTGTCTATGGAATTTATTTATTTTTTTTTTTTTTTTTGAAAGGGATTTGTGCATATAAAAAACTGCCGTAACGTTTGTTTTTGACGACTTCATAAATAGTATCTTCATATATATATATATATATATATATATATATATATATATATATATATATATATATAAAATAAATATTATAAATCCGATATTATTTTATATTTGATTTTTATGTTTATTCACATTCTTTTATAGATATAAATATATTTAAGTAAATGGGTTAATACTATTTATTATAAACAGATCATTTATCTTAAATATTTGTATCTATAAAAGAACGTGTAAACATAATATATATATATATATATATTTATATATATATATATATATATCAAAATGTGGGGTACAGTTCAATTTATAATACATTACAATGATTCATTATTCATACAAAAATTAAAAATAGTAAAGTTAATGGTGTAAAATGGCGAAATCTCTTCGCTAACCAAATTTTAAAGATGCATTAACGTACTAATCACTCGATGAATGCTATGTTCCTTGATTTTTTAAAATTATAAGCGATATAAAGTCTTTCTTAGATACGCAAGTACTTTCGACTGTACATTCAGTCATCTTCAGGCATGGATATTATTTTGTTTTTGGTAAAATTCAGGTCTCATCCGAGAGGAAAAATTTAAATATAGAATCAAATATGTTTTTTTTAAATGTTATATATATATATATATATATATATATATATATATATCGGTCCTTGTGTGTTTCTAAAAAATATATACGCTAAAAATTCACCTACATCCCTACCGTTCAGACATCTAAATGGTAGAATTTCCATATGACGCCATTCAGTCTGGTTTCGATCATAGCTAGAGGCAACCGGATGATTTTAAAAACTTCTGTCTATGGATGACGTTATATATATATATATATATATATATTCTATCTAAATGTTTTTAAATGTCCACCCCAGCATTATATAGTTGATTGAAAAGAAACGTTTAAACTGTTGTTGTCATTGGAAGCAATTACGAAACTCATACTTTGAGAAACTTTTTTGTTCTAATACCAATATTTTGAGCTTATTTAAACAACAAACAGGGAAAATATTTTGACGACAGCAATATTTTATCGAAAAATGCTTTTTTTTGGGTCATAATAAAATTTCTAATAAACAATCCTGTCTCACTTTCTTAATCTTGTATAATAATTTTCTCTAATTTAAATTTAAAGTACAAAACAACTACTTTTCTCTTATTTAAATTTAAAGTACAAAACAATTACTTTTGGGGCCAATTTAAAAAATGGTACTTATAAAAAATTAATGTCAATAGTCAAAATTTTGTCTGTAATAGTAATATATATATATATATATATATATATATATAATTGTGATTATTTCAAATCATCCTAATTATTTCTATCTGTATATCCTTTAATTAACCGGCTTCTAATGCTCTGGACTGAGCGGCTTGAGGATAGTAATCGTAGCTCGTGGAGGCAGAGTCCTCATGGGTAAAGAGAAACTCGACGATGAGTTCCAATAATTAAATATGTGATCGAAAGGCAATATCAAGTCTAATTAATAAAAAACCCCCACGGAGGCCCGTTGGAACAAAATATGGCGTTTGTTTCTATTGTAAAATCAGGTTTCAATTCTGGTAGTGGAATTGCTGATGCGTTTAAAATATAGGACAAAATGGGAAGTTGTCCAGTGCTTTCTTCATTCTGTTAAGATTTCTTCTAGACTTGATATATATATATAAAAGAAGGGAACGGAGATGAAAGAAAGATAGGCTTATTAAGAGATTATGAATGAAAAGCGCCGAATGACCTCTGAATAGTTTTGCCAACCCAATTACAATTTACAGGTTTAACCCGTGCTCTGGTTTTTCATGCACTTCCCAACGCACAGATTGACATGGTACTATAAGGTCACTTCCTTAATAAATCGGCGATAGTGAGTCTCCGAAAGGTAACATTCTATCCACTTGAATACACATCGTCAGATAAAATAGGTTAAAATTAATTTTGTGGTAAGATTAAAAAGGTTACCGAATAGAATAATTAAACGTAGTTTGGTAATGATCGACTGTACTTAGGACAAGAACAAAACATATAAGATTCATCAACGGCGCGTAGAAGTAGTCAACTGCTAGAAGTGAATTCCACAATGAATCTCCAGCTGCAGGATATCTACCAACCGCACCATATGTCATATGTTGCACAAGTCTGAAGTAAATATGAAGTATTCAAGCCCGTAGGCTCAGCTAAAAATTCCCCGTAAACCGCGTACGTATGAAAATATTTGACGATGATTTTTTCCCCTACGAAAAAACACCCATTCAAATATAAATCAAAATTTAAAATTAATCCTTATTCCAGAGGCAGAGAGTTTGACCAAAACAAATGGAGATGAATCTCCGACTGCAGACCAACATACAGTATTTACTACTCTACATATGTGAATAGGGACTTACACATTATTGTCCCTAGGTATCCTACAAGAGGAACTTAGATTGAAGTGTACCAAATAGAGGACATATATGATATATAATTATTTATTTAAAATATGATTCCAACATATTTTTAGAAATATTCCCAAATGAAATATGAAGTGGGAGAAATTCTATGTTCATTAATTTCATATGTCATTGAATGTTTTTATGTGTTTTCGTTCTCCTGGTAATCCAAAGAAAAAAAATTCTTAAGGTTAAATGATTCCAAACATACGCGTACACATATATATATATACACACATATATGCACACATATATATGTATATTTATGCACAAATACAGACATACATATATATACAAATATACTAACGCATATATATATATATATATATATATATATATATATATATATAATATACATATATTTATGTATACACACACACACACACACATATGTATACACATATATATATATATATATATATATATATATATACACATATATATATATATGCATTATATATGCACACATATATACACACACATATATATGTATATACACATATACAAATATATATATTCATATATACACACATATGTACATAAATACACACATATATATATACACAAATACATGTACATACACACACATATATATATATATAGACACAACCTCATATATACACACATATATGCAAACACACACACACATATATATATACGCACACATATACATGCAAAAAACAAATATATATATATACAATCATATACACACATATTTATATGTATTTATACACACATATATATACACAAATATATATATATATACACACGCAGAGGCACACATATATATATGCATATACACACACAGATATATATATATATATATATATATATATGTATATTGACACACAAACATATATATAGACACACACACACACACGTATTGTCTTTCATACCGCCTGAAGATTGTCAGAGAGACTCCAGAATATCTTGATATCCACATGAAAGTCGCAGAAAGACAGTGTGTTAGTAATATCAGTACTACTGTCTACTTTCCCACTAATATTCGAAATTTGTCGCCTTTTGCTATATCAATGTGTAATGATTTGGATCTCTCCTATTTATCATTACAATTTCTTTCGCCCTGCGATTTCACCCAATTAATGTCAGGCAGTGTATGTGCCTGCCTAACTCCTTGGCCTCTCATCCGAAGTTTCGACTTTATATTCAGTATTATTGTCTGCGATGTCTGAGAAAACCCCGCCTTTTCTGCTCTGTTGGTGGCTGTTTCTATATCTGTGATATGGCTCTTTCCCTCGCGTGCATTCCAGGTGCAACTTGGCCGATAGGTTTTCAGGCGGCGGCCTGGATATCGTCTGCCATGTCAAGTTACCGTATGCAAATCTATTCTTGCATGTAAGACACATACTACAAGTTGCCTACTTGATGACCTAGAGGCGTATCTCTTCTTCCGGTGCTCCATTGACCGAGATCAGGACTCAAATCAAGATACAATACCAACTTTCGAATTCTGTTTTAGAAGTTCGGCGAGCCGTCTCCACTTGAAATATTCTAACACAAATTTTTCTACCCTGCACTTCCCCGTATTTACTCTGATGCTGAACTCAATTAAGCTTTGAAAAGACACATATTACGAGGGCCTATAAACCCGACGAAAGGAAATGTGTACATTTTGGGAGGAAGTGAAGCGATGCGCATGCGTATTTGTATCTGATAATTTCTCTTAATTTCTTTTTGGTCTGTTATTGCTTTAGCTTCCGTCTGGTCCGATTCTGCTTTCAAAATAATGATAGTATTTAGTGGCGGTTGGACCAATGGAGGCTTAACTTTCCTTCTTGTGTCTTTGAACTTCATTTCTTACGTTGTTTTTCTCTGTTCTTTTTCAGAAGTTTCCTTAATTTATTTCGTTTTTCTAATATTTCTTTCTTCTCTTTCTTCTATTTTCTTATAATTTTAATTCATTCTCTTCAAAAATGAGCAAAAAGTGTAGAAGTGAAAAAGAAAGAAAGAAAGAAAGAAAGAAAGAAGGAATGAATGTTTAAAAGAAAGAAAGGAAGGAAGAAAGAAAGAATAAAAGGAAGAAAGAAAGGAAGAAAGAAGGAATAAAGGAAGGAGAGAACGAATGAAAGAAAGAGAGAAAGAAAGAAAGAAAGAAAGAAAGGAGGAAAGGAGGAAAGAAAGAAAGGAGGAATGAAAGAAGGATAGAACGAAAGAAAGAAAGAAAGAAAGGAGGAATGAAAGAAGGAGAGAACGAAAGAAAGAAAGAAAGAAAGAAAGAAAGGATGAATAAAAGAAGGATAGAACGGATGAAAGAAAGAAAGAAAGAAAAAAAGAAAGAAAGGAAAGAAAGAAAAAAGAAAGAAAGAAAAAAGAAAGAAAGAAGGAAAGAAAAAAAAAAGAAAGAAAGAAAGAAAGGATGAATAAAAGAAGGATAGAACGGATGAAAGAAAGAAAGAAAGAAAGAAAGAAAGAAAGGAGGAAAGGAGGAAAGAAAGAAAGGAGGAATGAAAGAAAGATAGAACGAAAGAAAGAAAGAAAGAAAGAAAGAAAGGAGGAAAGGAGGAAAGAAAGAAAGGAGGAATGAAAGAAGGATAGAACGAAAGAAAGAAAGAAATAAAGAAAGGATGAATAAAAGAAGGATAGAACGATGAAAAAAAGAAAGAAAGAAAGGAAAAGGAGAAAGGAGGAAAGAAAGAAAGGAGGAATGAAAGAAGGATAGAAAAGAAAGAAAGAAAGAAAGAAAGAAAGAAAGGATGAATAAAAGAAGGATAGAACGGATGAAAGAAAGAAAGAAAGAAAGAAAGGAGGAAAGGAGGAAAGAAAGAAAGGAGGAATGAAAGAAGGATAGAACGAAAGAAAGAAATAAAGAAAGAAAGAAAGGAAGAAAGAAAGAAAGAAAGGATGAATAAAAGAAGGATAGAACGGATGAAAGAAAGAAAGAAAGAAAGAAAGAAAGGAGGAAAGGAGGAAAGGAGGAATGAAAGAAGGATAGAACGAAAGAAAAAAAGAAAGAAAGAAAAGAAGAATAAAAGAAAGGAGGAATAAAAGAAGCATAGAACGAAAGAAAGAAAGATTGAAATAAAGAAAGGAGAAAAGAAATAAAGGAGGAATAAAAGAAGGACAGAACGAAAGAAAGAAAGAGAGAGAGAAAGAAAGAAAGAAAAGAAAGAAAGAAAGAAAGAAAGGAGGAATGATAGAAAGAAAGAAAGAAAGAAAGGAGGAATAATAAAAGGAAAGAAAGAAAGAATTAAGAAAGAAATAAATAAATAAAGAAAGAAAGAAAGAAAGAAAGAAATGTCTGAGGTAAGTATAAAAAAGGTGGGGGGGGGAGAAATCAAAACTAAAAGTAGGTAGGTAGAAAGAAAGTATAAAAATAAGGAGACGATGAAATATATAGAAACAAAGAAAGCAAGCGAAAGAATGGAGGATAAAATTATAAAAGGCGTAATGACAAAAAGTACGCAGGTGTAAGCATTAAGGAAGCTTTATTCGGTTGAGAATGCAAGGTTTGCGTATAGTGTCCTTTTATAATCCCAGTAAACAGAAACAGCTCTCGCGAAGAGGAAAGTAGCAAAACAAGGGGAGACAACTCTTGATTATTCATAGCAAAATGGTTTAAGAGAAATAAAGAAAAAAGAAAGAAGTGGGTATTGAAAAAGATAAATAGACGATATTAAGGCTAAACATAAATAAAGAAGGAAGGAAAAAGAAAGAAAGAAATAATTGATCAGTGAACGATAAAGAAAGAACAAAAGAAAGAGAAAGAAAGAAAGAACGTATAGAAATGTGTAAGAGACAAGTAAAAAGCAATCAAGCAAGGAAGAAAGAAACGATAGATGCAATAAATAGAAAGAAAAAAAGAGAATGAAATTATAGTTCTTCGAAGTCTAAAGAGACTAAACTATGTAAAAGAAAAAGAACAAAGAAGAAAAGAAATGATGGAGGCGGTAAATAGATATTCCCTATCAGCTATGCCAGATTTTTTTTCTTTCTTTTTATATTGTTTATCAATTCTCTTTCGTAATATATTAACAGAACGACAGGGTGGTCCGAAAATCTTTTCAACTCTTACCAAAATAATAGAAGAAATCTTAGCGCAATAACAAAAAAGCACATTTACTGGATTCAGTTTATTCTCTTTCATTGACGCTGTCACACATCGAGAAGGTCTGTACGAACACCATCATTTTTCGTGGTGCAAAATGATGCGACGCCGTGTCCAGTGTGAAATTTCACGAAGCTGTGCTTTGTTGATTGTTGCAAAGGCTCTCCGAACGGCGTCTTTCAACTGATGGGGATTCTGGTATCTTTCATTTGAAGCTCTCTACTTGTTCTTCCCAGAATGCACACGATAATGTGTCCATACACTTGTAAGCAGCTTCTCTTCCAAACTGTAGGAGTCTGTGGCAGCCATCTGAAATAGAAAATAATATTATATAGGGGATGACAAGACTTTCGGACCATCCTGTATAATCTTTTTCTTTTCTTCTTTTTTTCTTTCTACTTAGTGTTCCTTTTCTTTCATTATTTCTCTCTATTTACCATAATTCTTGTCTTTCTTTTTATCTCTCTTTTTGTATGCTTTGCTTTACTACCTTCTGTCTATCTACCTCACCATTCCTTTCATTTTTTTTTCTTTGTTTCGAAATGTTATCTCTATAGTTAAAAAGTTCAGAACAATAGCTCCAGATAAAACAATAAAAAGAAAAAAAGAGAATGAAATATATAGCAAAATGGCGTCATCTTTTGTGTGATATTTTACGAAGCTCTACTTTGTTGATTTTTGCGAAGGCTCTCCGAACGGCGTAATTTAACTGATTGGGATTCTGGTATCCTTCATTTGAAACTCTCTCCTTGATCTCGCCAGAATGCACACGATCATCTGTCCATACACTTGTAAGCAGCGGATACCTCGAGGCGGTAAAATGGTTAGCAAGCTTGTCTCGCTAGAACAATTACGCTTGAATAGTGAGTTCGATCCTCACTGGGTGCCCTATATTTTCGATCCTGTGCCACATCTAAGCTACGCTTGGAAAATCACTACACTTGTAAGCAGCTTCTCTTCCAAACAGTGGGAACTTGTAGCAGCCATCGAAATAGAAAATCATATATATGGATGACAAGACATTCGGACCACTCTGTGTAATTTTCTTCTTTTTTCTTTTTACTTAGTGTTGCTCTTTCTCTTTCATTCTTTCTTTCTATTTACCGCCTCCGTAGTTCCTTTCTTTTTTTCTCTCTTTTTATATGCTTTGCTTTACTACCTTCTGTCTATCTACCTCACCATTCTTTTCTTTTGTTCTTTTTTTTTCTTTCGAAATGTTGTGTCTATAGTTAACAAGTTCGGCACAATAGTTTCAAATAAAACAAATAAAATTGGCAATTATTCATCTTAGAAACGGAATTGTGCATCATTTTTAATTTTATTATTTCATTTTGAGACGATTAAATGCTCTTTTGTTTTCTAATCGTTGTAATGAATTTAACATAAAGATCGGGTAAATTCTTTCAATTGGAGACACTATAAAATTGGTAGGTAACATTATATTTATACTTTTATCAAGGCTATCTTTTCTTTGTTCTGTAGAATTGGTAGGTTTTCCTTTTCGCATTATATATATATATAAATAGATTATGGGAAGAGTTTAAAATAATTTTCAGTGCATTTATCTTCGTTATTTAAACACTGAAAACGACAAACGTTATACAGAATTTGGCATAGATTCCTCTCACGTATACCTCCGCAAAATACCTCCCACGCAATGGTAAGACGTAAGCTAGAGGAAGAGATTATTGTCACTAATATCTTGTTAATGTGGGGAGGTATTTCTGAGATGTACATGTGGGAGGTATTTCTGCCGCATACTTTATTATGTTCAGAGAAATTCCTTTCGATTTTAGTTGGGAAGGTAACACACATGCTCCGTTTTGGCAATCTTGCAACATTTCTTTTTTTGTTTCTGTGCTTTTTATAATCTTTCCTCTTCGCATTTTATGTGAAATACTTAAAATATGGGGGGAAAATGGCGGTTCTCTGTACTGCTCCAGTAAGAATCTGACTCCTCGTGCTATCGTCTGCCTTTAAAAGAACCAGATCAGGCCTAAAATGAGGTACTACTCACATATTTGGGCCGGGGCTGTCCAGTTATCACTTCCCAGCATCGTTCTAGCCGAAAAAGCATCTCAGTATTTATCGATCCACCCACGAGGATTGAATATGGCACAAGGCCGGTTTAATGTGGGTATCTCCGAGCCCGTAGGCTCGGCCAAAAATATAGCCTTTGAACCCGCCTAGACGGGTTCAGGCCCTGTCTACCTCCCCGGACGAAACCTTGCCCTTCGGCAAAGCTTCGTCCGGGTTCCTCTCTACTAACGCAGAGAGTTCGACAGACGTCGGGAGTCAGCCAAGAACTTCTCCAAAAGCATCTCCGAGTCCTTGTGGGTGACAAATTATTTTCTACCCAGCAATCATTCTCGCACAAACTGTTGTGTCGTAAATAGGAAAGGTTGACCCACATAAAGAAAATAAGTAGTTTATGCCGAAGAATATGATTCACGGTTGAGAAGATAGATTAATGTAATAAACAGTTAATCGTTAAATCCACTCCCTTAGTTAGTCAGTTAGTTAGTTAGAGAGAGAGAGAGAGAGAGAGAGAGAGAGAGAGAGAGAGAGAGAGAGAGAGAGAGTGTGTGTGTGTGTGTGTGTATATGTGTGTTTTTAAATAGTTTATGGACCTGTCCTCCTTGTGGTGGTGTTCAGCTACTCCACAAGACAAACGAAATGTCGCAAGCCTCTCACTGCTCTATCGCTGATTCAATGGAAAGTCTTCAAACGGATTACGTTCCTTAGTTCCATAAGTTCTATCATTCACGGCTAAGACCCGCTATACTATGTACATAGTATTCTACTGTGAGAAGTAAGTTCCACTCGAGTACGTTCTTCCTGCAAACCACCGCTTTGTGAAACCAACTCCCAAGAAGATGTTTCCAGATCATTACAATCTTAACCAGTCTAGAGTCAGCCGTTATCTTCCCTACATATCCACATAAACTGCGCCCCCTTTATTCTGTAACTATCTACCTCGAGTGGCTCTCAGTCCTTCTACAGGGTGAACCTCATTATAAAATAAAAACGAGAAAGGACGTTGAAGGAGTTTAAGTGTATGCAATATTAGTTTTCTTCCTTTGGTGCTTATTGACCGTTACAAATTGTAAGTGCTCTTAAGTAGAAATCTAAAATTATTCTGGGTTTTATTTCACTGTTGCGATGCCACTAGCCTTTATGAGATCATTTTCGTTAACGGATTTTCGTTAAATCGATTAATTTAAATCGTTATCTCTACGGTATAACGTGACGTTAAGAAACGGTCTAACTTGTTTGTTTTCTTTAATGTTAATTTGATTCTGTGTTCAACATTGTTTAGTTTACATAATCAAGTAATATGATGTACGTGGCTATATTAATAAGGCATCATCGATATATTTGAAATGTGTTGATATTTTATTTATATAAGTCGTAGTTTTTGAAAATTCTAAAAACAAATATAGCACTCAGCGGCAATCTCACTACGTGTCCGAATTTCTGCTCAAAAAATTATTGTCGATTTTTTAGTTTTCAATAACGAGTAATATAATCCCCATTGGTAGTCCAAATTTCTGCCTATAAAAATTATTATCGATTGTTTAGTTTTCAATAACGGATAATGACATTCACATTGGTGGTCCAAATTGTGGAGATATATTAATAAAGCATCATCGATACATCATGATTAGAGCGATTTTTTTAATGCTAAATCTTTTCTAGAGTCAGTTTCAAGAAATTCTCAGGATAGACTTGTAATGATAGCACTAACAAGCAAACCCAATGGTATTCCAGTCTGTTTATAAAGCTTATTATCGAAAGTAAAAATAATATTGAATTATATTAAATCAACAAGTTGTTGTAATTATTGTATTGATAAATCATCAGTTACTTCCCCTTAAGATCTAGGAGGCATGAAAAGCACCCTGTAAAATCCGTCAGTAGACGAGTAGACAGAGTAAAGTGCAATAAAACTTTGGTATAAGTTTATTTCACTGGTTCTATTTTTACTACAATTATGTCTATTAGTAGGAAGACGGTAATTTTTTAATTTACTAGCTGTTTCTTATGGAAATGTAAGCATTTTTTAATTGATACATTTTAAGTGCGAAATTTGCCAGGAATTTAGTTTTTATATTTATACCTCTTAATTTGTTGAAAGATCGCCGTGATTATTTATGTTAAGGTATAATTATTCTTGGAATAATTGTTTTTTTTTTCTTGCGGCACAAAACTGGGGGATGAGACATATTTCACTTCTTTTTTATTTTTTTTCCCATTAAATTAAATATTTTCAAAATTGGTATTAAATTGTGGGAAATTTATTAATTCATCCATGTCTACAAGGATTTTTCATTTGGTTGAATAGAGCGAGTGCAGGTTCGACCATGTCCCTGTCGTGTCCTTTGACAATTTACGGCGTCCGAAAACCAGTTTGCTCGATGAGTCTGCATTTCAACTTTTTCCTTTCTATAGACTCGTCATAAAAAAGTTATCAAATATTAGGAAATTTCTTGCTTAATCCATGTTTAAAAAATTTTTTCAGTCAGTTGTAACTTAAGTGCGAAACGTGCCAGGAATTTATTTTTTATATTGATACCTCTTAATTTGTGGAAAGGGTCGCCCTGATTATTTATATGTTAAGGTATAATTATTCTTGGAATAATTGATTTTTTTTCTTCTACAGATTTCACTAATCTTTGGGGAGCATTATCAATTCTAGATAAGTGTATACTTCTTAAATCATAAATTCTATTTGTGCCACAGAAGTAATATTATATTCATCTGTTTGTTTTCATAGTAACATTTGTAATTTTTATTGTAGGGAATGGAATCCCTGGTAACATTTACACATCGGGATTGAAATTTATTCATTTTGGCGGTATTTCCCACCCTGCTTTTATAAGGTCTTGCAATAATGTTGTTTCCTTACCAGTTCCTCAACTAGCAATAATTAGCCTTTTTCGAACTATTATGTTCAGCCCGAAACTGAAGGCATGAAGTTCCGTGTCGGATATATATATATATATATATATATATATATATATATATATATATATATACCAAGTATATAATTGGTATATACGGAATGAATTCCAATAAACAACAATTACTATTCTTAAAAGAGTGCTCAATACAAAGTAGAGCAGATATAATTATTTTTTATAAAAAAATTATAACATAAATATGTTATAAAATCACTACAAAAATAGCCATTTTGTTTCAACACCCTCGGTAACTTATCAAGTGAGGTTGTTGAAGATAAAATAAATGGTTTTAAAAGTTTCAATGTTTTCCCCTAGCCAAGGATTAATTTGAAGTAACGAAAATCTTGATAATCCGTAGAGCTCAATGTTAAGTCAGAGCGAATAATTCAATTTAAAGAAAAAAACTTTAAGAGTGGTCTGTTTTTTCTTTAAATTAAGTTATATTAATTTATATATATATATTACGAAATGGACAAAGTCCGACAATTATTTTAATATATTTAATATGCCCTGTTTATAATAAACGGTATTAAATAACATTTACCAGCCTGGACGTCCGAAAACTTTCATGGAAAATATGCGTCCCCCGACAGTAGGAATCGAACCTGAAATCGCTCTTCGACAGGAATTGAACAAGAAACCGTCATATAACCTGACGTCAGCCAGTCATATAGCCAGTTTAGATAGGAAGGAGCTCCAACCTGAAGAAGGCCGGAGAGTACAACGACACATAAACCAGTGGACAAAAACGTTGCTTAGATCCAGTGACTAGACCCAAGAGGGGTGAATCCAATACCGGGCCACAGCAGTGGTAAACCAAAACTTGGTGAGTTGGGAGAAAGGGAAATAACTGAAACCTTCAGAAGAGGCATGGCACGTCGAACTAGAACAATCTGCAAAATTAATGGACGAAATAAAGTGTCCGGTTCGAAATTACTATTAACTTGGAGCGTAAAACGGTTGAAACGTTCGGACAGTTTATCAATAACTTCGACCACAATAATCTAGACATAAATTAGAAAATTCAATTCAAAATTAAGTAAAGAGAATTATATATATATATATATATATATATATATATATATATATATATGTGGGGGTGTACTATATATTGTTCGGACTGTTGTCTTTTTTTATTGTCATATTTATTATGTTTCTACAGGCGGTATACGTTAGAAATTGGAAGCGAACCCTTTATTTAGTTCACGACATTGGATTATTCTAATTCCACGTGCCATGCCTTTTTTGGATTATATCATTTTCAGTCAATTCCCTTTAGTAACTCAGCTCTCTAATTTTTTGTTTACGTCTGCTCTAAAGATGATAACAACAGTCCGAACAATGTAAATATTGTAAATAGTTACAATATTTCATCTCGAGAGATCTCGTGTGTCCGTGTTCAAACCTAGCCCAAATACAGGGGCCCAAGTGAGAAATAATAATAATAATAATAATATATATATATATATATATATATATATATATATATATATATATATATATATATATTAAAAAAGTGGACATTGAAGTAAACACCCAGAAGACACGGTCTGTTTTTTTTATTAAATGCCATCGTCAGCCTGGCAACTTCGTTTAGCGTGAAACAGACTATCGCCTCTGGGTGTTGAATTCAATGCCCTCTTCTATATTTACATACGCTCTATACCTTATATTGAACACTTTAAACCATAAATATAGCATGCCATAAAACTACACACACACACACACACACACACACACACACACACATATATATATATATATATATATATATATATATATATATATATATATATATATATATATATATATACCTATCTGTATTTGAGTTTTATTTTTTTTAGCAGTCTATGGAAAAAATGTTTCGTATCTATACAGGTGTCTATTCATTCCTCGCCCAGCTTTTATATATCAACCTAGACGTATTATCTCACACGAATCGATCGTTCTTTATATGTTGACGTTCTTACATAAGCTCAAATGATCTGGACGTCATCTGTCTGTCGTAAATGGCATATTCCATTCTTAATATAAAACTTAATAGGAAATAATGCAACGAACGATTATCCGATCTGTATTCAATTTTACATAGACGCCATTTTTTTTTTTTTTTTTACCTTGCCTTGCTTTCCATCGATAGGACGTCAGCTATTTTACTGGAATCTAATTTTCGAAACCCAGTGAAAACAAGTCCGGTGTATTGAAAAGTCAATATGGCAATCAACAAGAGTTGTACTTTTGCAGACTCTAAAAAAAATGAGAAAAAATAATGAAGAAATAATTGCCAAAATTCTTTATTACAAATTTGTTAGAATCCAATCTTCATAACCTGGTGATGATCAATATCTCGATAGTTGTGTTAATCTTACGGAGAAGGTTGCTAATATTCAAACCGTAAAGAAATACTGACATTTTGATTAGTGCTTATATAACATATATTATACTGGACGTTGATGTCTTCAAAAAGCTATCAAATAAAAAAAAAATGAATCCGTTTGGGTGATTAGAGAACCTAACCTATATTTAGCCTGCTGAGGGGTGTTTTTACTGATAATTGTCACGCTTGACTGAACTCACTGAGGGTTCTCTTTTTGTTGTTGCTGCTGTTGAAGCTTTGCTGACAGTTTTCTGTATTTATTAAAGGCTCCCATATTTCTATGCTAGGCCCACTAACTAGTTTCCCATAGTTTATCATATACGCTGACTCTTTCAGACATCTGACTCCCCAGTGTTTCTTCTCTGTCCAGTAAAAATACTGGACAGAAAAGAACACTGAATATTTACGATTTCAATTCCTGGACCAGGCACTGCACTTGCAATCAGTGGAATTGCGATGAATAGGAAGAGATATCCCTGGACATGGATAGCGGGACAAGAGCAATCCGTTGTTGTAGAATAAATAAAAAGGATGCAGTTTGGAATTATCTTAATATTTTGCTTAGCTTCTCAAAGGCGTCTTTTGCTATTCTAGTGAGCCTTCGGATTTCTGCTTCACATTGTCTGTCCGAAAGGCGTTATTATAAAGCAATCAATTTGAACTGTTGTATTCATTTTGTTTCCCATGAGCACACTTACATTCTTATACAGATTCAGTGGGTTGAGTAGAGGTCACATCTGAAATATGTTGACCAAGAAGAATGAACACCTTCAAGATCAAAGTGACGAAACGAGACTGTAGCGATCAAGAATAGGACAGGGAATACATCAGAGATATATATATATATATATATATATATATATATATATATATATATATATATGCAAAAGTTACGAAATTAAAAACGAAATTTTGAATAATTATAGTAAGTATTTATTAGTCAAGTTTCCATTGATTTTAACAATAGTTTCCCGCTGTTCTAGAGACGAACTGATGTCATTTTCTTAGAAACCTCGTGTTTTATGTTAAACAAAGGTTGTGGGGTAGTTTTCAACTGAATGTCAGTCAGTTAAGTGAAATGCCTGATACACGCTTAGGCGTTCATGTATGCTTCGATACATGACTGACGAGGCAGATTTTTTTCCCGCAGTAGGTTGCCATTTCTTTCTGCGGTAGACCAGTTGCCAAGGCTATAGAACCCAGTCAGTCCTGCTATTTACCCATAGCTGGAGGGAGAAGATGAGGATTCATACCTTTCTCAAGGGTATTATTAGCACGTAATTGAATGTAATGGATTCGACTGGAAATCGAACTCAGCTTTCCGATTCCTCAATCCGAGCTGCTATCCATTACGCCACCTACCGTAACAAATGGAAATCTGAACGAATCTAGTCATATCAGCAGACTCCGTCTAACACCGTGAATTATATATATATATAATATATATATATATATATATATATATATATATATATATATATATATATATATATATATATATATATATATATATATATATATATATTCCTTTTTATAAATACAAATATTTAAGTAAATGCTCTGTTTATAATAAGCATGAATGTACAAGAAATTGTCATAGAAAATATACGTCCTCCGACGGGAATCAAACCTGTATCCTATACGGAACAGTCATATAGCCTGAGGTGCTTTTACTGAGTTCGCCACAGAGGAGCGTTCGGTTAGCAAGGTCAATCTTCCATGTATCTCTCACAAACATTCATATCTGCTCAATGCGTATCCAAATGTAAACAAATGACGTCACGCATTATGAAAGGGACAAAGTTCGACAATTATTTTAAGACATTTTTATGTTTATACCTTATTTTGTTTTTTTATAAATAGAAATATTTAAGTGAATGCCCTGTTTTTATAATAAACAGTATTAATAACATTTACCGGCCTGAATGTCCGAGAAATTTTCATAGAAAATGTTCGTCCTCCGACAGGAATCGAACCTGTATCCTATACGGAACCGTCATATAGCCTGACGTTCTTTTACCGATTATGAAGATTGAATTCTAACAAATTTGTATGAAAGAACTTTAGCAATTATTTCTTCAATATTCTCTTTCATACAATGGATGGTGTGTCCCATTTCAACTTCTTAAGCGTTCGCAATCTTTGTTTTGCAACATGCGATCCTGTGTTGTCGTGATGGAAAATTTCTACGGAAATTGAATCAACAAGCTTGTAGAAATATGCGAGATAGTTGTTAAAAACAATGGCGACTATTTCGTCAAGGTGATTTTAACTTAAATGAGCGTACTTCCGACGTCAACGAAGACCCTCTTCTTGCCATCGTGGAGAGATAAAAAAAAAAAAACAATGAACGACGATTTAGAGCGGAGAGATTTCTAAGAGTTTTAAAAAAATCGATGTCTCAACTGCTGTTTGCCATTTGATGAGATTTGGATTCAAGTCGAAAAGTCAGATTCTGGCAACTCTAAAATTTTGTGTTTCTTTTTTTTTTTTTTAAATAAAGTTGTCAGTTGGTTTTCGACTAACTGTATGGTGTCGTATTTTGTCGTTTAAATTAACCTGTAGAGATCGGGACAAATGAAAATCCGAAGACCCCAAGTCAGGAGGATACGGTGAGTACTTGGAGGCCTTTTCCATTTCAACTCATTTACCTTCCGCAAGGTCTGTTTTGCAATATGCGGTCTGGCATTGTCGTGGTGGAAAAGAAGAGGACAGGTTTTAGACTTGCCAAAAATCGTCTGCTTTTCTTTAATCCAAATCTCTTCCAATGACGAAGATTCAAACTCTTAGCAATCTCTTCCGTTGAAATCTTCGGTTTACTCTCCACGATAACAGAGTCTCTTCATCGACATCGGAAAGTGGCCCGGAGTATGGATGAACGTTTAGGCTAAAATCATTCTGAAGAAATTTGACAATCGTATTTTTGACTGTCTAAAGAGTTGGAACACGATCCAAATAAACCTTCGGAATTAATTTTTTTCTTTTTTTTTTTGTCACAATTCTGACGCTTAATAAAATTTCCCAGAACCTGATATGTAGAAAAATGTAACATTTCATCCCCTTGTCTTCATTTCCTGAAAACTCTTTAACAATTCAATAAAGTCTGACACGCAAATGAACGGTGCAAGGTTTTAATCTAGAACACACCAGAACTTTGCACCAAAAGAAACGCCGGTCTCAAGTTGCGGCCATTTTGTATTAAGAACAACATTTGGGCCGAACTTCTGTAATGATCGGATAATATCCATAGAAATTAAGTATTTGTCAATGTATTAAGTAACATTAAATGAGTACAAGGCGCTAATTTCAAATAGAGTTGTGCCATGGACGATCCCCTGGTTAGGTTTTTAGTTGGCGCTTCTTGTGTGCTATATAGAAACAAATTTCGTTAAATTAATTCGAATTAAATTTAATAGTGAGTCCCATATTGCCTTTGTTATATTTCAGAAAGAAAATTAACAGTAAAATAAGTTTGCCCTTGTATTCTGAAACAATATCTTCCTCTACCATTTGCTACATTTATCTTTGCATCAAAGAACACAAATGAAGATACAGGTCTTGTTTGTGAAGGTTTTCCCGAAATATGAAAAAATAATTTACATGTACATGCATGTTCACGACTAAGTGAAATTTTATTAGCGATTCTTGCAGACATTGCTATAGCAATTATCTGTATAACAATTACCTGTATAAATGAATTTTCACTGAATATAAACGGTGACCCCAAAAAACGGGAACTTTTTAACAATCCAATAAAACCAAGAGTGATGGAAGAAAAAATATTTTATTCATAGTAATTGAAACCTTAAAACATGCCATTTAAGAAACAATGATGAAATTTTCATTTTTTAAAAATTACGACCTGTAGATGGCGTCCTCCTGTACGAATGCATTCTTGAAATCTGCTGTTGAGATTCCTCATTGACTGCTGCAACATCTCAGCTGGGATACTGTGAATTTCATCTTGAATTCTAAATGGCGAAATATTTACTTGCTCAAGGTCACTGTCTGGCAGTGTTGCCACTTGCTCCTGTCTGGTAATACGCACTTCAAAATTTCCCATTTTTGGGGGGTCACCCTATATATCGAAAATGGATATGCTAAACTGTTGTTGTAAATATTTTTGGACAAGTTTCTCGTCTGAGTGCATCCTTCAAATCTACAAGTCTACCATTTGTCCTTGCATTAGATACAGTTGCCATATATGATGTGGTACCCCCGCTGTTCAACTCGACGTTCTCGACAAAATCCAAAGACGGATATGCAATGTGATAAGTCCTGACCTGGCATCTCGACTATAGTCACTTTCTCACAGACGCGATGTAGCTTCCCTCTGTCCTTTCTACAAATATTTTACATGGCAGCGGCTCTGACGAGCCACTTTCACTGGTACCCCAGCTGCATGAATTTAAGCTTGCTACTAGGTTGGTATCTCGGTCTTACCCTTTCACTGTCGAAACGATTAAATGTAACCGCCTCTTCTACTTCAACAGCTTCTTCTCTCGCACTTCCTGACAGTGGAACTCCATTCCTCTTACTTGCTTTCCTGATAGTTACAATCTTCAAATATTCAAATGTAATGCCAATCGACATCTTCTGATGCTTTGATCATGATCCCCGTTCTTCTGCTTATCCTTTCCTCAACCCCCCTCTTTAATCTTATTCTCGCTCTCTGTAGCCCCCTTGCATGTTAATGGCAATCCCGTCTTGCTCGGGGTGAAATGCTTACAAACAAGTTAATAGGAGTAGATAGGTTTGCCTATCCTCTGGTTCATAATCCTCCTCGGTCTTTTTAACAGGAGTAGAGGTCCATCCCTTGTTTTCGGTCTAGGATTGGGTTTCCGTTTCCTTCGAAAGTCTATTTCAACTCTATTCACTTAAAGTCTCCCCACCCTGAATTTTATTCGCTAATTAAATCTTGACTTCTTCAAATCTAGAATTAGCTATTTTTTTTCGTGTTATCTTGCCATTTCTTACGCTAATATAATACCACACAGTAACCCTCTACTTTGAGCGGCCCTTGGGGCTTGTACTG